TTACAGTTTGACTTCAATTTATTGCCAAAAGAATCGCCACATTTTTCCACATAGGATGGGCAATAAATTGACTGAAAATATTATATGGGCCAAATCGGCTTCTTATGCGCCCCTGTCCTTTTTGCCTATACATACTAGATAATATTCTATTGAAAGTCCTAAGAGTGTTTGAGTTTTCATTGAGACTGAACGGAGCTATTGAATATTTAATACATCTATTAGTCAGAGAATTCAGATACAAGACCCGAGGTTTTCGAAAACGTTTGAAAACTTTGTATTTTCGAGATATAAACTTTTCAAAAATACTTTTGTATTATTTACTATGCTTCGAAAAGCGTGTATTTTTGAAAATTTCAGAGCTTGAAGATACGAATGTTACAAACTCTAAAAAGCTTCATGCAAGCTAATCTATATGGGATCCTCGCATGGAAATAGTTTCAAGACGCGTTTCAAAAACATGACTCTACGAAACGGCGACGTCTTGCGAAGGGATCCATCTAGAAAATAGATATATTAAATATTCAATAGCCCCATAAAATCTCAATAGAAACTAAAATCATTGAAATTGGCAATATATATCTATGTAGGTGCCGGTGTAAATGGAAACAATACTATAACCGACATCATTTCACGTCTATGCCGACTCACACCCTAGTTTACCCTCATATTCTTGTTGTTCTAATGAAGACTTTTCTTCAATTTGTTTTTAGACTAATTGCCATACACAATCATGGGACCTTTTTATTTCAATCATTGATTGTTGATTAATCACGTGAAGACATTCCTTATGATATATAAATATCAATTAACCAATTTTGACATTTTATGTTTATCATTCGAAGATGAACTTTGTTTTGAATAAATTTAATAATTTCAATGGAATATGATTATCTAAATCTTATTGTTCAAATATTAATTCTTTATACAATTTTCCTTGACCATTGCTGAATCTATATATTAAAACATAAAGAACGAAAGTTAAAAGAAAATTGTTTATTTACTTAGATATTACAGAAATTTTTCAATTAATGTTGTAATCATCTTTAAAGCTAGTCTAACGTTTACTTTAATATTGATATCAGACTTCAAGCTATTTGATTAACTTTTAAATATTTCAAGCGGAGAAATAAATATCGACTTGTAGGTTTCATTCCATGAATGTTATCAATATCTAGCATAATGAGAAATTTTGAACGAAGAAGAGATAACTTATTTCAATCCAGAAGTCTTTACTAAATCTCTAAGAGTCAGACTTATAGAGAACTAACCAGTCTTTGCTTTTCTTATCATTTAATACCAACAATTTGGACTATTTATATTGATTGTAGCTGATCGCATTGACTAATTATTGACTATTTCAAGTCAGTATTGTTTAGTTATTCTTAAATCTATCCTTGTAACGATTGACCTGATGGATTCATGACTGTTGCCGTTCTTCAGTCAAATATATAGAAATTAATTTAGTATTTAGAAGTGCAACAAATACAGAACAGATTTGGTACCAAGGGCTTTGAGATTTGTATCATTTGAGACCAAATCCAAACCAACTCAGTAGTAATGAATTCCAAGACTTTGGGTTTGTAGCACTCCTATGAGTACGTATACTTCAACGCTTAGTTTTTCTTTATTTTCGAAAAGTTCGATTTGTTTGATAAAAGCATAGAAATTTGAATAGTCTCTGGCATATCCAATACACACCAATCCTCGTCACTGTCAGTTTTTGGTCAATTTTATCCATTTTAGTACCATAAAAGATTTACGAATGATAATCATTGACACTCTTCTCGGCATTTCAAATAAGATTATATCTAGTATTTACTTCAGATGTTATACTTGAGAATAGTTTTTTTATATTCTCTATCTAAGACGTTCCAGATAATTTTCAAACATTTCCAGACTAGATGTGGGTGGTTTCACGTCACATTCACATCCAAATGATTTAATACTTTTTATTTGATTGTAACTCGACTGGACCTTTCATCTGAGATAACTACGTAAATAGGAAAATAAACTCTTTTCTCCAACGGCTATGTGACAAACCCTCTATTAGAGGAGTAGTGAAAACATTACTTGACAAAGTTGACTCAATATTTCAACAGTATCAAAAACACTGGCACTTCTGTACTGTCAGAGTTTTAGAGTGAGTGACGTTCTATCGAATACACTATGTCACCATGCTGAGCAATTCAGCTTTTTGGAATAATCGTACGTACAAGATAGCTCTGTATTTTTGTGCGGTCGGTAATCAGTCATATAGTATTTGAGACTCGTATTTTTCTAACTCAAGCTAAGTTTAATATGGTCAAATGCGTTTCATCACGAGAAATCTAAAAATAACATTGGATCTTGTTTTAATGCAGAAAACTACCGAGCACAATCGGAAAAAATCGGGCAAAAAAGAGGTCTTCTATAGAGTTTTTAAACTTTGCTGCCGGAATTTGGTCTGAGATCATATTTCTAGATCTTAATAAGAATTCTGGCATTTGAGTTGGAGTCAATGCGACAATATCCAAAAAGTGCAATAACTCTCGGAAACAAAGAGATGCCACGATGAACCAATAAAGGTTTTAGTGGAGATGCGGAAATTTTTTCGGATTTCATTCGTTTATTACTCCACCATCAAAGATTCTAGATAATTTAAAGAATTATTCCATATGAAAGAAGAACAATTTCCAAGGTTTAGAAGACCTTTATTTCACACTTTTTTTTAAATGCCGAACTTTCTTCACAAACAGGACTTTTGCTGTGTCTGTCATTATTTAAGTCTAACTACAATTTTCACGGTCTTTTGAGAAATCTTGGAATTTATTGTTCTAAGGTCCAACCATCAATAAACATGCAACCTCCGCATGATATATATGAAATCGGCTTGCCATGCATTTGATATCGGCAGATAACTCGAGTAGACGTAGGTCGTTGTATTGTCAGCGCTGACAAACATAAACATCATAAGAGCAATAATATGCATCATTATGACACTGAATCTTTTCCAATAGTTAGTATCGTCATGTGAGTGAAGAGCATCTTTATATTCACAAGCACAATCAATATCAAGATTCAATCATAGTGTGGGTGTAGGTGTGACTAGGTTCTTAACCATTCACACATCTAGCTATTGTAATAAGTGAGATCCAAGCGAGATACTTGTGGTTGGTAGTGTATATTAATGCAAAAGCCAAAAGACAAACAACCTTAGAGAATTTGTGGATGTGGATGTGTGGGTGTGGGTGTGGGTGCCGATGTGAATAGAAGATTCACACGCACATCCACACACACACCCCGTAGTTGGCTTTTTCTTTTGCCTCACTATCAAGAGAAAAGAACAAAAAAGAAAAAAATATATTTTCCTAGTTTACATGTGTGTGAGTATATTCTACCATGTTGATCATAGTCTGAGCAAGAAATTATCGTTGTCGCAGCATCACAAAGACAATTTAATTTTTTCTATCAGAAGTGTATTATCATTTTCAATCAATTAGTGGCTCATTGGATAGAATTTGAGTGGATTTCGTGAAGTGTTTTGTTTTACAGTTGTATCGAGAAGATTATTACCACTAGTTAATAAATATTTCTCCGACTAACTATTTTTGATGAATGCTGATAGTATTTCATTAAATATTAACTTTATTCTGATATATTTATGGACAGTAAAGAAATTAAACAAATAAGAAACAAAATAGGTCGTTCATCAAACTAATCTATTGTCATTACTGCCCAAGAATTCGAATTGATTGCGTGCTTTTACTCTGCTGAATTGAAAATTGATATGTTGAACATTGTCTCCACTGCCCGATGAAACTACATTCGATGTCCCCCTCATTCGAACAGCTTCTTAAGAGATGTATCGAGTTTTCTTTCTTATAAAGAAATTTCTCGATTAAGCTATATCTTTGTTTAATATTTCTGATTTCAAAAATATCTGCTAAATCGACTCAGGTAAAACACTATTCAATTATATTGAAAATTAATAGAGTAATTAGTAGTGGTTTTCGAATAATTGAATTTCTTCAAATTATGAGCGTTATTCTTAATAAGAATAGCTACCGGAAAACTACTCCTTACTGGATACTCTATTAATTTTCATTGGTTCAAAATAAACAGAATTTTCTGTTATATATTCTAATGATATCAATAATAGCGGGTGGCGTAGAGTACGGGTATGGGTCTTAATGAAGTGAAATCAATGCCCACATCCCATCCCACACACACCCACACCTACATCCTGTTGTATCGATTTTGATTTGAGAAATTGTGAGTTATATTCGAAAACAAAACGAAGAATCGACTACTAGACATAAAAGTAGAGAAACGAGACTCAATAAAACATAGAAAATTTTCATGCCAAAGGAACGATGCGTTGTTCTCGCCGCCACCATAAAATTCGACTTTTAACTGTATCACGAAAACGAGATGATGAAAACATGAAAAGATAGAATCGTCCCTAAAAAGATAAGACAAAAGAAAATGAACACTTTAGTTTGCCAAATACTTACTCCATAAGTGATTGAGCCAAAAAGATAAGTGACATTAGCAGCAAGAGTCTCCCTAGCTATTTGATCAACATTCTTATGCATATTGATCGTAATAAGTGCATAAGCAGAATACACAGTATACGGAATAAGACCAACAAAAGTTAGCAAGACTTGAGTGAAAACTATGAGCAGCAAATGACGATCAGCATGTAAACGGGCGAGAGCAGTCGTTTTTCTTATATTTCGATAAGCTAAAATTCCAAATATCATCATAATTGAAATATGCATGCCACAAATAATAATACAAATGAATACTACTGTATAAATAAAAGACGCTGTATTGGTATAAATACAAACACCTGTAATTGGTGACATGTCTTGAAAATATAACCAAAGAGTACCATGAAGCCACCAGATAATAACAGCAGATAAAGAAGCTCGATATGCATGCTTCATATTGCTTAGCTGACGATGCCAGACCTTTTGGGATGTGACTAGATATTGATCCATAGTAGCCAAACATTCAAAAGTCAAAGGAATGGTACTAAAAGTTGCAAGAAAAACATAACGAATCTTGCACCAAACGATAGAAATACGGGTCAAATCAATATTTAGAAATATAGCGACAACACGTGGAATATATGCAGTCATAAACTGACCACATTCATGTATGGAAGCGATAATAAAATAAAACATACACGGAGTCTTTCGATAATGGGATACAGTAGTTAAAATGAACACTTGCATAATACTACCTAGAAGTCCCATGATAACAATAAATAGACCAAAATAAAGCGTAAATAGTCGATTAACCAAAATCAACGATGTCATGATTTTTTTCTTGCGATAAACAAATCTAAAACGAAATATCACTTTGTTAATTATGGAAACTATTATAACTAAAGAATTCATATATAATGGCGTAAGACTTCATTATTTAAAACTTTTCTTCACTTATCCAGAACACATTTTTGCATCAGATCAACTTGAATGACTTATAATTTTGAGAAGATGTTGGTTCTATGTTTGAAGAAATTTTCGTAAACTGCTCAGTTTTACAATCCGAGACTTAAACGTACATTTCACCGAAGTTTTCCTTTCTACGAAGCTAACTACTGATTTCACTAATCATCTATCTAAAGTCTTACCTATTCGATTTCTATTTCGAATTTAATTACCGCTATACATTTTTGAATAACCTTCAAGTAAAATTGCTTGATTTTCTCGACAAACTTGTAAGGTTAGTCTTAAACATGAATTTTATCTGACTTGGATAAAATATGATTTTTCTTTTAACAAAAGTACCCAAATTTTACTGCAGATCATATAGTTCGTCATTTTCTAAAAGTTTTATATTTAACAAAGTTTCTAATCTTGATATCACAAATGAAAGCTCTTTTTCCGTTAAGATCGAATAGAGATCATCTTTAATATACATCAGATATACAAAATATTTTATTGATTGTAGACAATGCTGAGCACCTAAGTTCTTTAGTTTTTTTGGTAGCTTTCAAAAAAACTTGTCTAATATTTTTAATCTTCTGAATGTTCATTAGTCATTTATCCATCTATCCGACTTACAATCTAGATAGTTATCTATATGCGTCATTCTTCATCTAATTAATTGATGTATTTACAGAACAAATAAGTTTGCATGTTTAACTTTAATTAAGAGAAAAAACTTCAACAATAAATTCATTGAAAATTTCGAGTGGATCGTGTGTCAAGATTAAAGTATACTATAAATAAATTAATTAATTTATCTAGTGCATAGTTTTGCCCTACCACACTATGATTTTCAAATTTGTTGCTTTTTTACACTATTTAGATAAATCTAATGAGTTAACCCCATACAATCCAACCTATATGTTTGTTGATTTTAGTTCTATAGGGTGTCCGGAAAGTCACTAAAGTTAGAAAAATTTGAATATTTTCGTCACTCTTCAACCAAATGAGCTGAATTTTTTTCTGAAGGTGGAGGATAGATAGAAGTTTTTATTCGTGAAGAAACAATCTATTTATACGCATGAAACCAGCAAACTTTTCTTCACTATATAAGTAGACTACGTACAAACGTTTGTTACTCATAGTTGTAGTTCGATACTGTAGGATATTCTTTTATTTATGTACCAAGTAATATAGCTGATATATAATGCAAGAATACTAGTATGGAAGAAATTGTCCTTCATTGTCCAAGCAATCATGGAAACGTTGCAAAACAGAGCGACATTCTTTGCGGCACATTTCTTCTGGTACCTCTCCGCAAACATCTTCAATTCTTTCTTGAAGTTCTGTAATGGTAGCAGGTGGTGTTTTAAACACGATGTACTTTAAATAGCCACAGAGAAAGAAATCACACGGGCTTAAATCTGGTGAACAAGCTGGCCAGTCGAATAGACCACGTCTGCCTATCCAGCGGCCTGGGAATTTTTCGTCAAGCATTTTCGAACAATAACGGCATAATGAGTTCTTGCTCCATCATGTGGAAAGTAAAATGTTTTGCCAAGGGGAAAAAAGCGGATCCTCGGATCCTGGTGGATCCTGTGGATCCTACTGGATCCTGGTGGATCCTACTGGATCCTGGTGGATCCTACTTGATCCTGGTGGATCCTACTGGATCCTATTGGATCCTGGTGGATCCTATTGGATCCTGGTGGATCCTGATGGATTCTGATGGATCCTAATGGATCCTAGTGGGTCCTGGTGGATCCTATGGATCCTGGCGGATCCTAATGGATCCCAGGATCCACCAGGATCCGCTTTTTCCCC